CAATAAAACATAAAAAAAGTCATCCCAGTGAAACAGATAGAATCTTTTAGCCCTTTTGTAAATATGAATTTTGAAACACATGCTTCATCACTGGCTTTGGTTTGCACAAAAACTACTAATGTAACAACGGTACAAAAAGAAGTCATATTAAAAACAAGTAAAAAATTTTAACAAGCCCACCACTTGAAATCAATGCAAGTGCAAAATCTTAAATGCATTAAATTGTAAAATCTACTGACCTAAAAACCTAAAAGCTAATCTATCAATAAATAAATGTCTAAATTAGAATAACTTTACAATAAGACCCCTTGATTTACTTAATGCAATTTTAAATATTCAATTATGTATATCCAATTACGTATATGCAATGGATGTACAATACATCCACGGATGTATTGTACAAAACAAATCTTTTTTTCTAATCACTGCTAGTGAGACCCTTAGAATGGTCTTGGGAGCCACCTGTTGGTGTGGAGGCCTAAAGCAGCCGCTGAGTTTCATGGTCTCCAGGGTCTGCTCTGCAAATTGGATGGCATGCAACTTAATTTAATCAGTTGCCTGTGCTTGCAGCTCATAGGTTAATTGTAATGTGAAATAGCTTCAGACGAATACAGTAATCATCCCCAAATATATCTATATAATATAAAGTTTGATAGAAAATTATAAAGCATTTATTATTTTAGTAATATCTTTTGTTGCAGTTTGTGCTATTTTTTTCCTCTAGTGTGAGACAGCAGCAGTGAATGAAGAACATTTCAAAGAAAAAATATGCACCAGCACTCCGAGCTTCTTGCTTTGTCTTTGATCGGCTCTACCTCCCCAATAACTTAAGAAATGCATATTTATATGAAAAATAATCAAAATAAAAATGTCAGCGGGCATTTCCATGTGCTCATCTGCTCAGATAACAACAACACACAGCCTGAAATGCAAGGTCAGACAGAGCAAGCAGGCAATTTGCAGTAAAGTAGAATAATTAATTACTCGGATGAAGTTTAAAAACACACACCGGAGCTGAAGGTGAAACGACCAATATCATATATCGACTGATGGATCACAGCGCGCGCGGGCTGTAAATAGCTGATGAGAAACAAAGTAATCGGAGTAAATAGATAAAAGAATGTGTTTAACGCTATCTGAATACATCCATGCTTTCAGATGCGGTGGGATTAATAGTAATTAATGCCTACGGTTCGAGCCGAAGCGTCATTAATATTTTATTAGGGGAACTGTGTCCTGTGTGTGTGGAAAATGGGTTTATATACACAGATTCATCCCGACACTTAAAAAAAATGATATTTATATATATGTATATAGATAGATAGATTTATCTAGATTGTGTAAATATATGCTACACTGTAAAAATGATCTAGAAATAAGTGAAAATGTCTTAAATTAAGTGTATTTACTCTTAATTTGAGCAAGAAAATAAGAGTTTGCCAATGGAATTAGTATTTTTATTCTTAAAATAAGTTATATGATATAAGATAAGATATAAGATAATATGCACTTGAAATAAGACAATGCAGTTCTGTTTTCTTATTTTAAGTGTAAATTGTCTCCTTTCATTGGGAAAATCTCTCACTTACTCCCCTCAATTAAAGAAAAATGACTTAATTAGACTTACACTTTTTTGCAGTGTACTACCTTTTGAAACAGTCGTGCTAATTGTTTGTTTATTTTAGCTAAATTTAGCGGTTAATTTTTGCAGGAGGAGGGAATAAATAACAGGGAGCTTGAAACATTAATTAGTGAGCCCAATGGCAACGTAGACTCATCTCACATAGATGCACCAGGCTATAATTAAGCGTTTATCTGCAGTTTAAAATCCTAATGGATTAAAATGGTCCGATGAGGATACATATTAAGCAAGGGAGTTTAATTAATAATGGCAATGTAAAATAGCCTTTTTTATTAAAACGCGGTTGAATCATTTTTAATAATAATAATATTAATAGTGATAAAATCAATGTAATATAGCATTGCATTTATGGAAATAAAAGCGCAACAATGGAAAGGCCTCAGGGCCAAAGTTTTAGGAACGCCAAAATGTGTTCACTTGAACTTGGATGAAGCTCCAAACGCATGACGCTTCTCCTTCTGCTTCTCCTCCCAGCTGCTCCGCTTTCACCCTCCGTGTCATTCCTGTGCGTCTTTTTTCCTCCCGATCACGGAGATACAGCCAAAGTGAGCGAGAAGTCATCATTTCATCCATGCGCTTTCCTCTCTGCTTGTCATTTTTCGGATTTTTTTAAGCCACACCCCTGCAGAAAGATAGAGATGGAGAGAGGGAGAGAGAAAGAGAGAGAGGAGCAACTCCCGGGTGTTTAAAAAACTAACTCAGGACAATAGCGGCGAATGAGCGCGTAATTAAATTAATTACTCCTTCTTGTCAATCTTGGATTAATGGCCAATAGCGGTGGTGCTGCTTAATGTTTTTACTTCTCTCTCTCTTTTCCTCCAATATCTTTGAAGGAGAAGGAGGAGGGAGGGGGGGCTCATCCCGGCATCCTGAGGGGAGGTAATTTGCGCGGATCAAGGGGGCAAGGCGCAGTAAAGTATAAATACTGTGACTTCAATAGAGGATCACCAGCAGGTTCCCCAACTCCGCTATACCAAAGGAGGAGGAATTGGCTGAGAAGATATATTTTTTCCCCACCTTCATCCACAGTTTGGCTTGCATTCACCTATCATTTTCAACGAGCCGCACCATTGATGTCTTAAGCAGCGGAGGGGGAGAGTTTGCGCGTATGTGTGTGCGCGTGAGAGAGAGGGAGTGAGTGTATGGTGTTTTTTCCAAGAGGAGAGGAAGCAGTGATGGAAGAGCTCACCGCTTTCGTATCCAAGTCCTTCGATCAGAAAGTGAAGGAGAAGAAGGAAGTGATAACCTACAGGGAGGTGTTGGAGACCGGGGCGACGCGAGCGGGAAGCAGGGAGTCTTTAACCGCGGAGCCCGGGAGCCGAGAGGAGGCGGCCGCTCTGGCGCGGAACGTGGCGCTTTCTCCGGGCAGGGAGGCAGACATGCTGGGGCCGGAGAGGATCAGGGACGCGGGGAGTCCTAAACACATCGACGGTAAGAGGTCTGAGCTCTAGCTGCTTTATGAGGAGGAGAAATTCATCAGAAAAAAAGGGAAAACAGTAAAGTAAAAACATGTTTAAGTTACTGAGAGATAAACACCATTAAAATTAATATGTACCTTTGCGTATATTTGAAAAAGCACACATTTTTAAGTATTTTTCATAAATGTACATCTCTGTCGCTCATTTATATTATTCTATCTCACTTAAACTGCTCTTAAAACATTTTCTATAAAGCATGTGGATCTTTTTAAAATCTGTTTCCAGATTTATTGTGTTTTATAGGAGCAAATTAGAAATTATACAACAACCCATATACAAACAATGAATAAAAAAATATTATTTCGTTTTAATTTTTTGTATAATAACAACAAAAAAAAGGATTCTACTCCAAATAAATAGATGAGATAAAAAGGATAAACCTACTCCTATAATAAATTAAAAATTAAACTGGCAGTAATTTCCAATAACGACACAATTTGGCCTTCTTGGTTTCAGGCAATAATTTTAAAGCCACAGAGTGTGAATGGCTTCAATAATCATTTAGCCATACAGTTTCTATCTGTGTGTGGTTCATTTAGGAGCGTTATAACCCATGAAAATGTAAACTACTAGAATAAAACCGCATTTCTGTTGGCAAATTGAATAAAAAATATTTTCACTAATATATTAGATGTGGATAAATAACTTTAATTATAAGCTTCACAAAGTGCAGAACTAAACAACCAAAAAAGTACAGAAATAATAAATATATATATATTAAATAAATCAGAGAAAATTAAGGTCATGCACAAAAAAAAGCAAATGTTAAATATATTGAAATATGTTCCAATAACTTTTCCAGATATTTTGATGCGTGTAAATATAGTTGATCGCCTGTGTTTTGGGGACAAAATGCTGGACAAGACATCCTAGAGTTGGAAGGCTTGTAAAAGTGACATCTGCTCGTCATGGGCAGCGTGGTTAAAAGCGGAACCGCGACAAGCATGTATCAGACACCCAACAGTAGGCACGACGTTGCATATTTATAAGCTGTTAATAATTAAAGAGCTTTATGTAGCTCGACAAAACATCCGAGGTCTGATAGCTGTGTGATATCAGAGGGCAAAGCCTTTTCTTCCTTTGCTCTCCTCCTCTACGTTTTTGCAAATTGCATGGGACATCGCGCACTTTTCAGTCCAGGGAAGGTGTCATTTTTGCACAAAAAAAAACAACAACAACAACAACAAAAAAAAAACTTGATCCCATCTGGTGCATTAAATCCTATGTTTTTAAAAAGATTAAAGAGAAAAGAAAACATCCCTATAGGGGGTGTCCACCGTGCATGATGCTGATCGTGGTTCCCTGCTGTCATCGCAGGCGCCACGGATGTGAAAGAGAGGAAAGAGGACTCCAAACCCATCGAGGATGAAACGCAAACAAAAATCAAGCAGAGGAGAAGTCGGACTAACTTCACGTTGGAGCAACTCAACGAGCTGGAGCGACTCTTTGACGAGACCCACTATCCGGACGCCTTCATGCGGGAGGAGCTGAGCCAGAGGCTGGGACTATCGGAGGCCCGGGTGCAGGTAGGCGCGATTTACAGAAATAAATAAATAAACACATCACTAATAAACACACACACTGAGATCACTAATACGCTACAAAAAAATGTAAATCTACATAAGTCGTTTTTTCTTAAAATAAGTGCATTTTTTCTTGAATTAAGGAGGTAAGTGAGACTCTTTGCCAATGGAAGAAGTCCATTTACATTTAAAATAAGAAAAGAACAATTGCAATATCTTATTATAAGTGCATAATATCCAATTATCTCATTTTAAGATTAAGAATACTCATTCCACTGGCAAATCATCTTATTTACCTGCTTAAATTAAGGGTAAATATACTTAATGTAAGACATTTTTGCTTATTTCTAGACCGTTTTTGCAGAGTAGGTTCAATTGTAAAAAAATATTGTTAATTTTTTATTATTATTATCATATACCCGAACTAACAATTATTTACTAACCTAACATAAGGATCATTCTAATTGACTTTTATTTAGTTGAATTTAATTATTAATATGCAGTTGATGCAGGTGCATAAAAACTTTGCATGGCCTTGATTTGTGCCAAATCAGATAAAGCCTTGTAGTTTTTTTGATACATTTTTGCAACAAAATGCAGTTTACTTAATATTTATATTATAAAATACTTTTCTTTAGCTTGTGTGTTATTTGTCTCTATTCCAGTCCAAACATTGCGCCAAAAATAATACACATTTTTGCATTCTGGTTTTAAGGTATGTGTTACCAGTCAGTAGATTTTCATAGGGTTGGACCATCTGTGCAGAAACCCAGTATGAGTGGTGGGAGATGTAGACAACGTGTGTTGGGGGGGATAGAGAGGAGGGGGTCTCAGACATATGTGAGGCGAACAGGGGGAGAGAATAATCATAAAAGCAGCTCCTTTTTCCTCTGTTTTATATATATATATAAAAATCATATAAAACGTATATGTATTATATTCTGCATTAAAACTCTTTTAAAGACAAAGTTGTTTTTGGTTCAAACTCCATCCAAACCAGCTTTGTGCATGGCTCCCCAGGCCCTGAACTGGAATCTCCCCAATAAGTCGCATTGTGTTCCGGACAAGGAGCACAGCTCCAGGGATTTGCATACATTATGTATTATTTTCAACCCCAAAATCGAGATCAGCTTTCGCCTCTGTCTCTTTAATCTCCGTCGGAGTATTACATCTTTTTATGCACACGTATTATTTAGAGTTGGTTTTAAGCACCAATCACACCGGTGCGCTTGGTTTTATAATAGCCATGAATCAGTGCGTCTGATACACTGTGATCAATGAATGAAGCCAGCTGACAGCCTAATCGATATGATATTTCAATCAAGCTTTCACCGTTTGCGGGGCATAATGTTACAGAGACTGTGGGCAGACACGTTGCATTGTGTCCCTCTACAGCCCAGGCTTTATCTGAGCTATTTATGGCGGATTATCATAGTAATAAAGCTTTTAATGCGCGTTCCAAGGCGTTTCGCAGGATTTCTCCGAAGAGAAATGTGAGTTACCACTCTGTCGCTTTTTGTGCACTAAGTGTTATGGCGGTGATTAGACATTTAAGCATACCTCCAACATGGATTTTCTGCAGATAAGGGTAATTAATTTCAGCGGTCAGAGAAAGAAAGGAGATGGGCGCTCAGATCCCTCTTTGCTCTGATCATCCAAAAAAGCCATGATAGCATTGCTGCAATCCGATATCCGAGAGTCCATTCAACTCTTAGGGGACACTCATCTATAGAAAGATGAAACCAGTGCTGACAAGGTTATTTATTATACCAGAGAAAGTCCTGCTCATTTTCCAACTGGAGTCATTCCATTCTCCTAATGAATTTGACATCAGATTAACAACCCCCCTCCCCCCTCCCCATTTATTTGTTTTGTTGTTGTTTTTTTCTTTTTACCTTTCCTTAATCTCAACTCACGCTCTTTTGCATCCCCCCTCCATTTATCTGTTTGTTTTGTTGTTGTTGTTTTTTTCTTTTTACCTTTCCTTAATCTCAACTCACGCTCTTTTGCATCCCCCCTCCCCCACTTGTTGTAGGCTAAATGTATAATAATTAAAATCTGAGGTTAAGCAGTAGCATTAATATTTCATTGCTCCTGGGGGATATTGTTTTTCTGCGGTTGTTGTCACTTTGAGAGGAATTACACATGGCCTCACAAGCAGCTGCCAATCAGTGGGTCTCTAATTAATTTCTGTCCCTGCAGGTTTGGTTCCAGAACAGAAGAGCGAAATGCAGAAAGCAGGAGAACCAGTTACATAAAGGTACAATCATACATTGAGGCAATCCTCAGTTCAGTGTGATTCAATTCTCCTTGATTTAATTGAATTCTATATTCTATTCTTGCAATGGTTGCTATATATATATATATATAAATCTTTTCCCAGTTAACCCTTTATATTCCTTCACATTTCACTGTTCTTAAGCAATTTCCAGTAGCAATGTTACAAAGTTTTATTTATCTAGTTTAATGGAGGTTATACAGTTTAACTGGAATTCCCCTCTCTTAATTAGGCTATTATCTTTTTATTTTCTGACACAGGAGTCCTAATTGGAGCAGCCAATCAGTTTGAAGCTTGTCGTGTAGCGCCATATGTCAACGTGGGGGCTTTAAGGATGCCATTCCAACAGGCAAGTAACTCAGAAGTTTTCAGTCTAAAGAAATAAAATAACAATAACACGGAGCAGACACTTCCTCTGTCTCCAATCTACCACCCACAATTCATTCACTATGACTGCTGTGTTGGCTCAGGATGTGACCAAGTGTTATATGCAGAGAATCCAGTTCCATGTGTCAGGGTGTGTGTGTGTGTGTGTGTGTGTGTGTGTGGGGGGGGGTATTGGAGCTAACTAAACTCTTGTTACCTCACTTGTGAGAACACTGTGCCAACACAGCGTAGCTTAATTGGAAAATTCCCTCTCATGTTTTCTGTGTTTTTTTTTTTTTTGACCATCTCAGGGCTTGTTCTACTGAAGCTAAACAAACATTTATAAAAATCTAAAAAGTTTTATTTATTTGTTTTATTTTTTTTGCAACCATAATCTATTATTAACAGAACTGGAGTTTACTCTTAAGGACATTTGATTTTATGCAGGTTCATTTATGCAGAGCAATGGACTTCCATTCAAATTCTTTTCTTTATTTCTTGTTTAGATTATAAAATGAATACAACAGTTAAACTCTTTATATGGATCCCATAAAACACAGTTTAAAATGTATAGAAACCCTTAGTTAATTTATAAAACACAAAAGTAGCATTTTAATGCTTCTTTTTTTTTTAGAATGAGGGTAACCTAAATTGAAACCCTTCAACAGGTAAATGGGTGAAACTTGAATAGATATGTCTTCATAATAGAAGCTCTTTTTGAAAAATAATTATACACAGATACCTCTTAATCAAGTTATACCACAAACAAAAATGATCAGGTTGTCAGATTGTTGCTATTTAATGACGTGTCTGTGTTTTAATTTATTCTGTAAATATTTTTCTCACATTTTAAAAACAAATGCTGTTAATTTGAGTATTTAACATACAGAAAAGGTTATGGAGCCAAGGTGAAGTTTCTGAGCTTTTTGTAGGTGTGAATCTGCAAAGAATCTTACTTTATAAACAGCACACTCCAAAAACGAAATCTATAAATGAGTAAAAATGTCTTAAATTAAGTGTATTTACCCTTGATCTGAGTATGTTAATTAAATAATTTGGCAATGGAATTAGTATTTTTACTCTTAAAATAAGATAACTAGATAATATGCACATGAAATTAGACAATGCAATTGTGTTTTCTTATCTTCAATGTAAATTATCTTTGGTAAAAATGTTTCTTTTATCTCCTCAATTCAAGCACAAGTGCACTTATTTTAAGAAAAAAAATGACTTGTCTAGATTTTGATTTTTTTGCAGTGTAGCACCTATGTTTAGAATGTGGAAGATTTATGGAATAACAATGATTTGTAGCCAGAGCTTCCATGCATCTTGGCATCGTATCCATTTTTGTCCCCTCTTTTCATTACTTTCAGGATCAGTTTATCAGCTGAATAGCTCGTCATGAAACAGAATGATGCGACCTTGTGTGAAGCTGGGTCTCAGATTAGAGGAGTTGATTGCTTTCTTTCACCTGTCCTTAACACATGCATTATAGCCTACTACATAGTATTGAAAAAGAGGTGGATACGAAATAGAGATTGGTTCAAGAACTTCCACTAAATTGGAAATGCAATCTAAAATAGCTACAGCATGGTGAAAATGATCCTGAACCCATCCCACTGCAAAGTTAACGCATGTTCTCCCCCTTCTCTCCCCCCTCCATCCGTGCGTCCCGTAGGATAGTCATTGCAACGTGCCGCCCTTCTCCTTTCAGGTGCAGGCGCAACTGCAGCTGGACAGCGCCGTGGCTCACGCGCAGCACCACTTGCACTCTCACCTGGCGGCGCACGCGCCCTACATGATGTTCCCCGCCCCGCCGTTCGGGTTGCCCCTGGCGACGCTCGCGGCAGAGTCGGCCTCTGCCGCCTCCGTAGTGGCCGCCGCAGCCGCGGCAAAGAACACGAGCAAGAACTCCAGCATCGCCGACCTGAGACTGAAGGCCAAAAAACACACGGCGGCGCTGGGGCTGTGACAGCAAGGAGGGGACTGAGGACACACTGAACCAAAACTGCTTCAAAGTGAGGGGGGGGGGAAGCGTTATCCACGGACGTAATTTATGTTTTCTCAATGGAGGACGACTACAATAATAAGATATAGGCTATTTATGAAAGACAATAAAAAAAAAAACTGTGACGTAATAGCCTACACACACGCGCCCTGAGTGGCTCACTGGGTGGACGGCAACACATGGACAGATACCCGGAGGAAGAGGAGGATGCAGCTGGGTTGGCCAATTCTTTGTCAAACAAGGCGAACCATTCTGCGTTTTCCTGTTTAACTATTGTGTTCTTGTTGTTATGATTTCGTTTCGATTCTATATAGAGGCTGGCCTCATAATATTACAGAAAAACCCTGCTAAAGCAGTGAGGGTTCTTTGTCAAACAGAAAAAAAGAATAATAATACGGACGATATCTCTCCCTCCACTGTTTTGTCCAGTTTAAACATGCCTCTGCAGTGTTTGCATGAGTTTGTAAGCCCCCCCTTCCACTCCCAGCCCCACCATACCCTAGCTGTCCATCCCTCTCTATTGAACATTTGGCCCCCCTGACCTTTATTGGACCTCCCATGGTTGAAGGTGAAACTGGTAGATTATAAAGAAAGATTAAAGTTCTTTTTACATTTTTTAAGAAATCATATTTCGAGCCAATGTCCATATAATTAGCCTAAAAGGTAATTTACATCCCTTTTTTCTTTTTGTCTAAGGCAGGCAAATCTCATCAACAAATGGCATTTCTAACACTGACTGTATGCGAACCGGTACGGGCACATGTAAAATATGTTAATACTCAAGAAAAGAAAGAAAGAAAGAAAAAAAAAAAAACATAAAAAAACATGCATTATTTTTTATGATTTTGTGGATTTATGAATGCCTCGTTGGGAACTTGTCCATTTTGTATTACTTTCCCCGTGCATTAAAAACATGTGTTTTCTGTATGTAATTTGAATGTTTTTTAATAGTGAACACGAGCTCACCCAAAAAGCACGGGTTTCTTAAAGGGGGAAAAAGGAATGACATAAAATTATTTTTTGTTCCATCACATGTGAAACGTGAAACCACCTTAACAAAAAATATGATTTTTTTTTATTATTTGTTTTAAATAAATTAACAAACGTTTCTTTAATGAGTTGATTTTTTTTTTTTTTTTTACAAAATCGGTTAAATTTTCATTATTATTATTATTATTATTATCAGTAAAGGTTTTGAGAGCAATAGATTTTTAATAATTTATAGGTGGAAGTCGTTTGATAACATCAGAGTTGTGACAGGTCCCGTTTAGTCGGGGATGTTACTGTGTGCGCGCGCGCACATTGGTGCGTGCGCGCGAGTTGTGTGCGTTGCACTGCCCTTGCCAAAGCGATGCATTATTCATAGTTTGCTTATAGAGAGGTTTTAGAAGAGAACTGATCATTTCCAGTACGAGTTAACAGGCAGATAAAGGATAGGCTACATCAGGATGAAAGCCGTTCAGTAACAGCTCAAGGATGAAGTTTTGCAGCTTTTTAAATAAATGCTTATGATCGATTCTCTGAATTAGTAATTATTTTAATTTAAAAACAAATGTGTTGTTGCTGGAATTCGAATCCCTCCGGACCGGGGGCCTAATAATTAACTTAAACTAATCTGTTTAATTTTAATTAACCCAATGAACATATAAACGCACAATTAGACTCGGAAATGATCTATTTTGTAATATTTTCTGCACAAACATGCTGCGAGTGATTAAAAGATACCCAAAACGTGAAGCAAAAAAGGAGAAAAAAGTATAGTTACATGTTTATTCGGATTTGCTGTTTGCTCATCTCTGCTAAACGTTTTTTTTTTTTTTTTTTTTTGCTGTATTGTGACCAAAAGTTTGGCATTATGAATACAAACATACAGCAAGCGCGCAGCTTAGAACAAATAAAAAAAACAAAAAACAAACAGTTTCATTAACACTTGTCTTACTTGATTCACAAATTTGCCTGATTCATTTCCTGACATATTTATTGAACATTTAATAAACACCTGACACAGGAAGCCTATAATTATAGAAATCCGGATCGCATTACTCTTCCGATATTTTTTCCACGCAAAACACAATGTCCTCAGCAATTAATTAATACCGATCTCACCGAGTCTGCACGACAGCCGGGCTTGTTTGTGTGTTCATCTGTGTTTGGGGCAGGATTTAGACGCCAAAACTATTGAATTATTGATTGGGAATCCTCGCCGGTAAATGGAGGAGACGCAACTGGGAAAGTGCTGATCCGGGGGCGCGCATGCTGGCCCCGCTGTAGAGCTTAAACACAAGCCGGGGGCGCGCAAAATCTTGGATTCTGAAAAACATAAAAAACACACACAAAAAAAATATTTGCCAAAAATATAATATGGCTACACGATTATTTACAGGTATCATAACAGTAACTCACCATAAACAATCATCCACTGCCCCTTGTTAAGGTTCAGTAAAAAAAAAAAAAAAAAAAGAATCAAAATATCATTCAAAATTAAATCTAATTTTGGAAATGGTTCTCATATTATAAGTTATATTCCAAGAGTTTATTGTTGTTTCTTAGTTTAGACGATTAGAGCTTATATTTCATTAAAACCACTAATTAAGTTTCTTATAAGATCACATGGTTCTATCAGACCAATTCAAAGTAGATGTTTAGAAATGTTATGCTATGACAATGCTATGGCCTGTATAATGGGTGTCATTGCAGACTGACATGATGAGAGTTGGACACAAACTGTAAAAGAGGCATTTGTATCCAGACAGATTAATGGAAAGTTTAGTGGAAGAAAAAAAGGTTAATGCACTGCAGCCTGCATTAGCTATGGCTAGGGTCAGTGTTTCAAAAGCTACAAGATTCAGACATGTTCTTAAGGGTGTCAGAGAGATAACTTGGGCTTTTATAGGTTACGAGCCATCATTATTCAAACAAATACCTGCTTAAAATATATGACTCAGATAGTGATGCATCTCTGCATGAGTTAAACTTTTTGAAATAAAATGTTATTTCACTGATATTCTAATGTATCAGATGCACATGTATTTTAATTCTACTGTGAAATTAAACTGTAAACTGACAGAGTAAGACTTTAGTACTGTGAGACTTGACAGCAGAATGGTTTTACTGAAAAATACCTCTCCCAGAGTTAAAAGGACTACAAGCCAAACTGCGTTTATATAGAAAAAAGTATGTTTGTATCTCAGGCCAAAGATTACTTAGCATGACCCTAGTTCAAATTCTGGTATCTTTATTTTTTCCCAGAATACATCATACATCTAAAATAACATGATGTGAATAGATTGCATATTATAAGATTGATGAGAATACAATAGTTTTACTGTGAAATCCAATAACCCTACAGTGACTGTACATTATTTAAACAGTGAAGAGCTGTATAAATACAGCAGTTCACAGATTCACAGTTCACAGCCCTGATTTTCTGTAGATGGAAGTAGATTATTTAGATTCTCACACTAGAGGTGATTATTGCCATGGTGAGCAAACTACATTGTTTTTCATAGTTTTACACCTTTCATCAGCAGATATTTCCCCTGTTCTCTTCTAGTCCTTGGTCTTGTAAATCAGAGGGTGAGAGGTCTGCCTGCCGTTCGGATCACCCTGAGTCACATTCAGTGGTGCAGAGGAGGGTCTTTGCTCCGAGGGGCCCAGGAGACAATGAGACGGGGACACACAAGTGTTCTGATTAGACATGGAGACTGACCATGAGCTCTCACTTTCCTCTCAACACGCTCTTTAAGACACACACCCCCACACAGCCAGCCAGGAGCCAGCCACGCTGGCTTCTTCTTCTGCACAGCCATATATCCCACTCACTTGCCTCCCTGTTTAACTCACACATGCACTCACTTGGGCATTATTCTACACAGCGCTGGATGAGTCAAGAGAAGGGCAATTATATTAAAGTTAATCAATTGTAGTGGACATATGAATCCAAATGCATGTCTCACAGACTCACACACAGAGGTCTTCATAGCCTGGTGAGTCACAACAGCACTCGGCACTGTGGAATCCTTCATATCAACTGGTGCTGTCTTGTTGCTATATTTACCCCACTACAACCCCTGAGACAAATGCACTACTCTCTCATTTCCCGCACTTGGCTCTTTATCAAATTAGGACACTTTAAACAATCTCACACAGCAGTGTTTTTTAACGACAGCGGAGGCAGCAGTTTTTTTTCCTGCATTTGAACGACTGTGGCTGAATCTGTTGTAAATGGTGTTTGTGCATTTATGAATTCATGTGAGAACACAGGAGAGAGAGCTCCCTTTTCTCTACTGTTTCTTCTTCTTCTTTTTTTTTTCTCTAAGGGCTTGCCTTTGTTACATGTTTGGAGTGCTCAAAGAGCAGGGGCGCACGCAGCACTGCACCAAAGACAACAGCCATCAGGAGCAAAGGCAGATAAAAGCCCAACTTCAAAGGCGTCAAATGGAGTGAAAGTGAGAAAGAAACCTGCTGAAAACTCCCTACAATAGCACTCACAGGCCCAGCAATTACGACGCCATATCGCTGCCTGTTATCACAGGGGCACGCTGTATAAGGGCCTGGGTGGCTAACCGCAGCACTTGGTGTGGGTTGCAGTCAGCAGAGAATTACAGCATTTATAGAGTTTGACTGTAGCACTGTATTTAATTTCACTGTAGGATCAAAAGTGGGTGTTCGCTCTGATTTGACCCATACTATGGCCAGGGATGCTTAACCAAACTGATTACTTGCACGCACACAAAAAAACACAACAAAATAAAAAAAAAATAAAAAAAACACACACCCACAAAAACTATGTTCAGCTGCACAGGAGAACAAAATAAAAGAGAGAGAGGTCAGAACAAAACAAGAAGTGTAATTGTTTCTTATTTTTATCCGTTTAGGTACCCCACGGCAATCTACACATATTCTATGAACTGGGTGAATTTTATTTGCTGTTAATTTATTTCCAGTTGCAGCTGTTTTGCAGGCTAGAAAGATAACATACTGTATAAATCCCTGCCCTGGAAACAAGACATAACAAGGGTATGTGAGTTGAAACCTGTGGCATCAGTAACCCTGAGGGGATTGTATTAGAAAGAAAGGTGACATTTGGTATAAGGGGATAAGGGGGGGATGACTTTAT